AGAGGCACTACGGATTTTCTCTATGCTAATTTCGGAATATACAACGATCCAGGCTGGGGGCAGGGAATCAGGCACGAACGGAAATAATGCGCCTCAGGAATTTTAGGCGGTCGAGCAACGATGGGACTAAGAGAAGAGGTATTTAGTATCAAGCCACGAAATTACGATGACAAAATTTTATAATTAACGATTTAACCCCATTAAGGGACTACTGTATTTAATAACTATAGAGAATTGGCTTAGACCTTGATCCCCTTGACGTAGATGCCATATGATTCACGGCGGCGGCCATCAACAATGGGGAAATCCTTGCTTTGTCACCTATAAAATGTCTCTTAATTTCCCACGCGTACTTTTCTCCCTACCAGCCTTTTCCTCTTTCTGTATTCAACTTTACATCCCCATTGGCTTCGAGAGCACCTACCCGGCCCCTTCTCATGTCTGCTGAAATCATGCTGCCCTGTGCCAGGATTACATTTTTTTCTGCGAAATGAACATCTTTCTCCTTACTCTACTCTTTGTCAACCGTAGCTAGACATGGGCTCAAAACCTTCCTGCTACAGGGGAAACTTCAAGCAAGTATCTTTTTTTAAGCTCTATACTATGTAGCTCTGCCCCGATTATGGAGTTGAACGGGATCCATACTCATTTGTAAAGAATTCGTGAAGGGACAACACAGACCAGCCTAACATGGCTCAATCAACCAATCAACTAATCACCTCACTGTCACCCTGATGTAGCCCAAATATTTGTGTAGTGGCTACGACTTCTAATTCAATCCTTGGCTCATTCTTTGGTCGAGGTGTCTGTACTGGTGTACCCTGACTCATTTTTACTACACCTAACCCCGCTGTCCTCCTCTTCTCCACAGCCATACTTGATTGTCGGAGCCAATCGTTGATTTCAAGTGAGGTTTTGGAGTATCCCTGCCACTAAAAAGACCCCATACAGTCCATTGCATCTCGCTCGTCCGTCGGGCTACTAATGCCAGTAAAGATTCAGCATCAACTCGGGCACCCTGCTGCTAGCCCCTTGTTGATAGCCTCTTGAGTAGCCGTGACAGCATATAACGCCCTGAACGCACCATAAATTACATCTATGTTCGTATAATTTTTAGCTGCATTGTACGCTGATCGACCACAGGCACTCCCATAGATACCGCGGAATGTGTACTATGCGAATTGATATAACGCTTGCTGTAAAGTTACGCATTCAAGGAGGCAGCAATGTTAGTTTAAACACCATCTGCTGATTCAGTTGTGACTTGGAAATGCGAATTGTAGGGTTTAAACACGCAATTTTTAATTCTATTTAGAGTTCCTCACATGCTAATATCTGAGGATGAACTTGATCGTCCTATCCAGCTGAAAGATTCGCCTAACTTGACTGCGGAAGCAAAAGCTTTGTCTGGTCTTGGTATTGCGGTTACTCGTGAAAGCAGTCCTCGTGGCAGCCTCGATGAATTTTTCGACAGGACAATGTTTTGAATGCACCTATCCCGATTGCGGCAAGGTAAAATCCCAAGGTCATGGAAAGTTTGCATTACTGTCCACCATTCATCATATAATAGACTTTCAGGAGCCGCAACGACCTTCCCGACACTGCTTGGTACACCTAGATGAACGCCTTTACAAGTGCACAGTGACGGGGTGTAATAACAGCTTCAACAATCGCACTGTACTCAAAGTCCATCTTCGAACTCATACTAAGGAAAGATCTTATATTTGTGCCGAAGAAGGGTGTAACAAACATTTACCGATGTAGTGTTTATCTCGCGTCTGCCATTCGTACCATCCGTTTTGCCTTTACACCTGAATCGGTCCCTAGTTGAGACTAGCGGTGCGGGATCTGATAGCTATTCTACCTCAGGGATCAACTTTAATTCGTCACCGACGTATCCATACTCAGGAGAAGCCTTCGCTTTGTTCAATTTGGAGCCGCTATAAAAGGTGTGCTTTTCATTCTTCATTTAACCCAAGTTCAGCTCTTATAGTTTAACTAATCTCTTGTTCGCAAGCACAGGCTCAGTCGGAAATCAATCTTGCTCAAGCATCAGCTGATTGACTCTTGTATCAAGACCTAGGACCAGACATTTGTGAATATTCCCAGAATGGGGTCTATCTAACAACAGAGCTTTGGGACTTAGCCTTTAGGCAGCTTGGTAGGTACAGTGACACGACATAAGTTTTTAACCCCATAGCCCCACACCCCTTATATTACTAATATTCTGCCGGTCCAAAAACTCCAGGAAATTAATTCTAGTCAGCGAATAAGGTGTATACCAGCCCTCTGACTCAATAATAGCTTCCAGACGATGAGGCATTGTCTCTGATAGGTGCTGTAGATGCCTTAGATCTAATTCATCTCATGCCTGTTGCGTAGTAGCTACCAAAATCTCCTTTGTTTCATAGTTATTCCGCATATCTGTGAAGGGCTGAGTCGAGTTGGGATGCCAACTGGAGAGGCCGATTGCAATTTACTAACAGCGTGGAGAGAAGAACTATCTAAGGGCGCGAAGTTGATAATGCGCGTTGGTCGCGTGCTCACACGTGATCAGATAGCGGCCTTGGCTCGTTACAATATCGATAAGATCAGGTCGAAGTTCGTATATTTTGGCCTTTAATAACGCCCAGAGGTTTCAATAGAATCTAAATTAGACGAATGCGGAGACCATTCCATAACCTCAATTGTGACCGGGCAGTCTGTCAGGAGAGAAAACAACGATAACGATGGTATTCAGTCTGAGTACTATGGTCGACGGGACTTCCAAGTTAGAGAAGGGAAAGAAGAAGAAGGAAAAGAAACAAATAGAGTCCTTGCTATCTACAGAACCCATATCACGTGCTAGGCACTGTCGCCTCAGGCATCGCCCATCAGGCTGGTCACATCAATCTCCATTTCAGCTAAAGCCTCTCGAACGACGTATGCAGCGTGTGTTGGGGCATTATCATGGTGAAAAATGCCCTCTTCATTCGCCATCAAAATAGGCAAGATTCGGCGATATAATTCCTCAATAACGAAGCGATCCACGCCGCTCTGTTCAGATCTCGGATCTCCGAAGAGAGTAATCAATCCAGTACGCCGCTCAGCGCCCGAAAACGAAGCCCAAATCATCTGCTTAACTTGCTTCCCGCGTTGAGGCAATCCTTGACATTGTTTCGCCTTTGGTTAATCTTTTGGGCATATAAAAGTCCATGTAAACATCTGATGATGGCTCAATGGAGAGCAAGGGGCTCAAAGACCGATGAATTGACCGCGATGACATGGCTTTTGGAGATTCGATGTTCATAGCTCAAGACGGTTGGAGTTCCAGGAATCAGAATGAACTATCTTTCCTGGCGCGTCCCGGTGGTTTTCGTATGAGATAGTGGGTCGCGTCAACCCGCGGGAACCCAAAACCCGCGCGACAGTGAAACAATGGCGAGAGCGCCTCTTCACTACCTGATCAATCATTTTTCTGGCGATTAGAGCTTAGACGTGTCCGCGGAGAGGCTTGGTCTCAATGATGGTCTATGAGTGTTCTTAGTGCAGACGCTGGGATGCAAGAGGGTTCGGAGAGCGCGCCGCGGCTAGACAATCGCATGTACGCGCCCCCTTGTATAAGTCTGGCCCTCACCAGCGAGAGCGGTGAGGGCCCTCTACAGTCTAATGGAAACTTTGCCCCTCTCTCCCGCCCCCCCCCCCCCCCCAAAAAAAAACGAGAATGGAAGCTATTTACAAATACCCCCCACGTCTATCAATAGTATAAAGTGGCTGGCCGTCGTCTCCATTGACCCATTCAAGCTCTGCCTCTCTTCTCTGATTTTCCTGCTCCCTAATTTGGTCTTGACGAGCCCATTCATCCCGCTTCTGTTTGGCCTCACGTTCATACTTCCGCCTTTGTTTCTCGGCCTCCATAATATCCCTATTTCGGCTGAGGGTATTCGAGTCCCTGACTCGAAGAGCACCCCCTTTAGATGACTGGCGCTGTGCTTATTCTTTTTAGAACTGGCCTGCTCCTGGTTCTCCTGGAAACGAATGAGGTCGGCCGAATACCTGGGCCGCGAGTTGGGCCTGTATAATGCTTCCCTCCTAAATCCGCTCAACCCGGCGCTTCAAGTTATTTATTTCAGGGCTATTATCATCAGGGAGGCTCTCGTTTTTTTTTTTTTTTTTTTTTTTTTTCCAGTTTTGTGACCGTCGTTGGTGGCGAATTGATAGTAGAACTTGAAGCGGAGGTGGAGTTTTTGGATCCGTTCAATACTCCCCTCTTTAATTGGGCGGCTATGATTGAAATCCCACTCTGGAAGCTCGTATTCCTTGCCCTTATCATAGACAACTAGATCTGGCCCATCATCTGGTTGTAGATCCTGGCAAATAATTGTAGGATTGAAGGGCCAAAGCCCGCAGTGTTTGACGGTATGTCGGACGGTCGAAGTTGTAAAAGTCTGTATCCGAACCCTATGGATTTGACGAAGAAAATCCCTCTTGTCTGTAAGTGAACCACTCCATCGTTTAGTCCTATTATTCTCCTTCCGGTAATAGTGCTTGTACGCTAGAAGGGCTTGGAATCGAGAGGTTGAAGACAGTGGGTAAGTTTAGATGGGAAACGGTATAGAAGTACCGATTCTGTTGGCAATAATTGATGAACTCGCGCTTCATATGGGATTCATGGCCATCAAGAAGTAATAATCGGTAGTCCGTACTAGACTTCCGCAGGACCCAACCTAACCCGGACCCAACCCGGACCCAACCGGGACTGGGTTGGGTTTTGGGTCAGAGTCCTCGACCCAGAACTGGGTCCGGGTTATAATGTCTGACCCAGTACTGGGTCTGGGGCCCCAACTTGGGTTATAAACATTGCAAACACGCCTAGGCCCGTGACTACATAACTTATGCAATTTTTGGCTGTAATATTAGGTATTTCTATTACAGCTAAATCAGAACTAACATCTTAATTTTAACACAAAGTAGTAAATATTGGATGAAATGTAGAGTTTATCAATTGCCTATGCTGCTAACTAATGGTACTCAAAAATATCGTCTTCTCGACTCTTTCGCTTCCGTCCTGATGCGCGCACTTGGGTGTTGTTCTCTGGTAATGGCACCTGGGATTCACGTCTAGTCGGTTCTTCAAGCGTAGCTGATAAAGCCTCATCTAGCTCTATCTCTTCATCAATTGTAGTCTCCTGTTCCTCAGCATCACTGATTGGCTCGATCTCAATCTCGTCAAGCTTCTCATCCTTCTCTTCCTTTGCCGCTTCCATCTCATCATAGGAGAAGAACTTCTCAAGAAGCTTCGCCTCTTGTTCTTCGATATCAAATCTTGAAGTGCAAAGAAACATCAACAAATCTTCGATCGTATGAGACTTCATCCGCCCTCGGCGGTAATGACAGATATCCCGAGCAGTGTTAAAGAGCCGCTCAACGCCTGCACCTGTTGCAGGGAATGAGAGGACATCACGCGCAAGGGCGGCAATTGCTGGGAAGCGAGCTTGGTTCTCTCGCCAGCATGTAAGAGGTGCAATATGAATAGGATCTAATTGTAGGTTAGTAAGAATCCTTAATGGCTTGGTTTAAACATACCACTATCAAGATATTGAGTCATTTCATCAGTAGTCGTGCTTGCTTGTACATTGCTTCCATCTAACATCGTATCAAGCTTCGATCCTAGCCGAGCCATCATTTGGGAGCCATCTGAGGACTTATTGAGGGATGAAAGCTCCTCTTGGTATGGAATCAGAGCTTCTTGGAAAGATTTGCGATATGTGTCGCGCCATTTCTGATCCCAGTCGTTTGTAAGAAAGAATTTGAACTTATTCACTGGGGCTAGCATTGTGCTAATTGCATAGATATGCCCTCGAATGTTGTCAGTTTGAGAGTAGTACTCATCAAGCTTTAACCGACCAGCTTCAAGTGCGTGAAGCATCTGCTTTTTCCATGGCACACGCTTACGTCGTAGCTGCTTCATTGACTGTTCGAGATGCTCAAAGAGTTTGTTGTAAATCTTGAACACATAATGCGCAGTAACATCTCGAGTCTTTGATAGCTGAGTTGTATAGTCGAAAAATGGCTCAGTGATACAAAGAAGATAGTCAACTTGACGCCAATCCTCCTCATAGAGCAACATCTATTCGCAATCGTACTCTGCACAAAATAGCGCAAAGATAGGACGTAGACGCTTTGCCCGGCGAAGCATTAGAAATGTGGAATTCCATCGAGTTCTCACATCTTGGATCGGCACTAGCTTAACGGCTGTCGTCTGGAGATTGTAAAACGTCTCCCGGCGCTGAGGGCTTGCGTTCAGATATATCGCAAGATAGCGGACCTTGTTCAATGTAAAAGATATCTCACGATTCCGATGCTGCGCGTTTAAATGAGATAATCTTGATTGCTTCTCTGTCCATTTCGTCTCAGCTGAGTCATTAAGTGGGACTGCCTTAATGCGATCAAGGAGCTGATTTAGACTAAGCTGGATAACGTGAGCAAGACATGGAATTCGAACAATGATAACACCATCTGATAGACCCTGTTGAAGAGAATCAAACAATGTCTTATTGTTAGATGCATTGTCCGTTGTTAACCCGAATACTCGGGCTTCCAGGTCATGATCTGTTAGAGTTTCAAGAAGAACATTGCTTAGGTTCGCACCTGTATGCGCACCATAGAGAGGTTTGAACCCAAGTAGTACCTCACGGTAGACCCAATCAATATCAACAAAGTAGCCAGTGATTGCCATAAATGCCTGCGAGAATGGAGATGTCCAGCAATCTAGCGCAATTGATATTTTCGCACCAACGGGTAGTGTACGAAGGATACGCTCTCGCCGATCTTTGACAATACTCCCTAATCGGCGACGGATTGTATCAGCAGAGGGAATGATCGGAGGTGACGGCGCACAACGAGCCCGAGAAATAAGACGCTGGAATGCCGGATGCTCAATTAGATGAAGTGGAAGTCGGTTAAGTGTAATGAATTGTAGGATATCTTCTTCCCAGGCTTCTTGCGATAATGGTATTTCGGCTTCTCCCTAAGGTTAGTAGCCAGGATTAATTAGTAAAGTAGAATAAAGGGCTACATTAGAACGTACCCCTTTCGTTAGAAATTTTGTAATCTCTGCTCTCTTCCCTTGCTCACTCTTCAAACATCCCGCCGTCTTTAAATGTTTCTGCATTGTTGAGGTGCCATGATATTGCACTTTACCTACAGCCTTTGGATTGACTGTATAAGGATGCTCAAGAATAGCTCCACAACGTTGACACATGACCTTTGGTGCGCCATCTATACTATGAGCAACCTGGTTGTAGTGGCTCCAAATCTCAGAATGGCGCGTCGAGTCCCACTTAATCTTGCTCTTTCTCCCAAAATCCGTTTGTAGCCACCAGTCTACCCAGTCGTTATGGGACATTTTATCGTAGAGAACGAACGCTTTCCTTCGGTCGGGTGACCCGGGTCCAACGCGTATTAAGCAGGAGGGGGCTATTAGTAGGATATTCGGTCGGAGGAAGTCAGGGTCGAAGGTTTCGATCGTATGTTGGCTAGTAGATGGAGTTGCTGGTTGGTTTGATGGTGTAAGATAGCTCAGATTGTCTAGATCACCATCGTAAAGCGAGGATGCGAAGTCAGACTGCTGACTTTGCGACATGGTAAATTGACCAAGATGCAAAGTAAGGGAGAAAGGGAGAATAGAGAACTCACAAATAATATCTATTAGCAGCGAGTGAATCTAGCAAACGCGATATATCAATTTTAATAAGTACTTTAATATATATACGCACGACTGATTGGTTAGTTTACTCCACCTTCATATACGTCTAACCTAATAACCCATCAAAAACCCAGAAAACCCAGCAAAAACTAGTAATAACCCAGAAACCCCAGAAATAACCCAATTCCCACCCCAACTTCTACCTATGATCATCAAAAAATTTCATCCTACCTCACCTATAGATGGTTGCAATTAGGGTCAACACTACCAAAAAAAGACCTTACAATCAATATAACCTTACTACATACTAGTCTGCTATAGACAATTAATAAAAAAAACAACTCTTTCCTGGCAAAAACGTATTCTTGAGATATCTCGACAACCAGGGGCCCTACGGCTCTGAGAAATTGTTCAAATTCTAAGTGCCGGCGAGCGCTATCGTTCGGTACCAATTTTATTGGGAAAAATGGCAGCGATCGTTGCCACGGGTGCAAATGCACACAAACTGCCTCCCGAAAGGGGGTCAGGGGGGAGAACACCAAAATCAACAGCACCCCTCGCCAACATGGACGAGATCGCCCAGGCCGCGCAGGTGGTGCTCCAGCACATCAGAATGACGCGCGAAATCCAGGTTGATGACCATGTTACTGGCTTCATTAACCAGGTCCGCCAGTACGCACTCAGCGCCCAGCAGAGCGACACGCTCGCAATGGCAAAGGTCACCCAAACGCTGGAGAAGCTGTCCAATGACACTTTCCAGGCCTTCCCCCGCCTAAGCGAACGTATGACTACTATCGAAAAAGCGGCAACTGCCATATCATCAAGCGCGAATACAACGATTAGTTCGACCCAAGCGGCGGCGAACTGGACTGGCTTCCGGAACACCAACAAGGATTGGCAGCGAGGACTTGTCCAAGCGGCCGCGGTGTCTGCCCTCAGCAACGGCACGTCATCTCCAGGAGTGTCGGAACTCGAGCTTCAGGAAGACCGTGAGGTCACTATTAAAGTGATGAGTAACCGTACCCAACTCCGGATGAAGACCCCGAGGGAGCTCGTCGAGCAGGCGGAACGGCAGCGTGAGGCCGTAGCGAGACAGAGGAATTCTGCCGCCCTAGCTGGGGGGCATACTTCGTCGCAGCTCGGAAACTGCCCTCTGGGGATATCACGATGGTGGCCAACAGCGCGGCCGGTGCGGAACTTCTTCGCAAGCACACTGGCTGGATAAAGGCATTTGGAGCGGATGCAGTCATCCAGCGGGTGAGTTGGGGCGTAGTGGCCCACGGTGTGCCTATACGCCGATTGAAGCTCTCTTCGGAGACGATGGCCGGAGTGGTGGCGGAACTACAGCGTGCTAACGGCCATACCTGGGGCGGGAAGGCAGATATCTCGCATGTGAGCTGGTTGAGACGTCCTCCGTCGAAGCAACGGGAAGGGTCTATCGTGATTGAATTCACAAGCCCAGTAGTGGCCAATCATGCCATTACCGCAGGGGTTATCTGGGAGAACCAGGTTCTCCAAGCTGTCCGATTCTGCCGTGAGGGTCGATCTAAGCTATGCAAGAAGTGCCAAAAACCTGGGCACATACAGTTTCATTGCCCGAACGATACCAAATGTGGGTATTGCGCTGCCGACCACTCGACCTGGGAGTGTGCCGCAACCAAAGGCCAAAACGTTACTATCAAGTGCGCCAACTGTGGCGATGGGCATCGTCCAGTTAGTGATAGTTGCCCGGTGAAGCAGGAAGCGGTAGCTGTAGCCCGACAGGCTCTACTCAACTGTCCGGCATGGCACCGTATCCCGCTGCACTTCCGGGACTCCGCGAACCGCGGCCAAAATACTGTGGCCCAAAGCAGGCCAAACCGCGCGGCTCCGGCTGCCGAACCTGGTCTAGATGCATCCATTCATGCGCCAGAGGCGCTAACGGCCACGGGAGATGCTCCTAAAGCGGCCGATACTAATGGTCTATCACTTGAACAATTCATCAAGCCAAAGCGGGGCCGACCTAAGGGCTCTAAGAATAAGTCAAAGGATAGCATTGCGCCTACCCTAGGGCATACCAACAACGATCTAGTGGCAAACCTAGGCCGTGTTACCCGGTCATCCCAGCGAGAGCAACGCCAGTCTATTGAAGGATTCACTGTGTCTAAGAAGCAGAGGACGGTGGAGACTGCGGATGTGATGGATGAGCAACCAGACGATAACTTCTGGTCCCAACTACCACCAATCGAAACTGGTCATGAGATGTCACCTCTAAATGAATTCACAACAATCAATGATCGAATCATAACCCCAGAGTTGCAACCTAATCTTCCAGAGATAGACCCTTCTAGCCCGGAGTACCAGTCCCTAATGCTTCGGCTTAGATATGGCAAACCCGCCGCCCAAGCCTCACTAGACAAGGCGCTAAGATCATCCCCGATCTTTATCACAAGAGACCCACATCAGCCAACGGACAACATAAGACAAGATAACGACTTCGACGATGAAAGTTCCTCCTTTGAAGATAGCAACAATGAAGAAATTGAGGACGAGACTCAGCAACAACAATGATATCGTTCGGACTTCTTCAATACAATGTGCATAAGTCGTGGGATGTGATGGCCACATTCCTACGCGATGAGAAGGTTCTGGCTGCGGAGGTGATCGCAGTGCAGGAGCCATGGAGAAATGACAAGAACAGAACAACACACCAACCAGCCACAGCGGAATTCCAACTGCTGTACCCCAAAACATTAGGGCCAAATCAACCAGGGGTCTGCTTCTTCATATCGAAGAAGATCGATCCCAGAACTTGGTCATGCCAGCAGATTTCAACGGACTATCAAATCCTAAAGGTCCGGCGTGCGCACCAGGGAAGGGATTGGACTGATCTCTTCATCCACAACATCTACAACAGACCAGGCAGCGGCACATTCGAAGTGCTTCGAGAGGAGCTTACAAAGCGCCCATTCGGAGAACATATTGTAGTCGGCGATATGAATGTCCACCACCCGGCCTGGGGAGGCCCCGGAACCCGGATCGATCGGGAAGCGGAAGATCTGCTTCTGATCATGGATGAACAAGGGCTCCAGTTAACGACGGAGGAGGGAATGGAGACGTGGTCAAGCCGAGAACAGTCATCAGTCATCGATCTCACATTCGTTTCGTCGAGTCTACATTCCAGACTTGTACGGTGCGAGCGAGCCGACGACCTAGAACACACATCAGACCATTTCCCAATCAGAACGGAACTCGATATTGATACACCATTGTTTAAACCCCCCAAACGGAGAAATTGGACCGCCACCGACGACAAGAAGATTGTGGAATTCATCGACGAACACTGGACTAGCCGGAATTTGTCCCAAGCCGACCCGATGCGCATTGAGCTTGAATGTCAAGCTTTTATGCGGGTTATCGCTGCCGCAGTCGATATATCTACCCCATGGGCAAAGCCATCAGAATGGGCGACCCCAGGATTCACTAGGGAGTGCCGCGAAGCGATCAAACTTGCACGCCAGCTACGACGGCGCCATTGCAAAACCAAAGACCCCTACGATTGGATGCGCTACAAAGAGGCACGCAACTATAAGAAACGCCTCGTCAAAGGCACGCTTACCCAAGCCCACCGACGAAGGGTGCAGCAGGTCATCAGGAGGGCCCTCATTGCATGTGGCGCCTCGCTAAATGGGCGCGCAATCGGGATGGAGCGTACGAGCGCGGTATCACTCCATCATTGAAACAACTAGACGGGACGGTTGCAGAAACAGTGGATGAGAAAGCTTTAGCTTTCCAAGCGGCATTCTTCCCACAGCCACCACCAGCCGATCTATCAGATACCACCAACTTCAACTACCCAGACCCAATCGATTTCCCTCCAATAATTGCACACGAGATCGAGGAGGCGGTGCGATCTACCAAAGCCGGAAAGGCTCCAGGGGAAGACGGCATCCCAAACTCTCTCTGGCACAAGCTAATCGATGTGCCGGTAATCATCAACACGCTAGTTCAGCTATTCAATGCATGTGTCCGAGTCGGGTACAACCCCACACACTTCCGCAAATCAATCACAGTGGTTCTCCGAAAAGGGGGTGAGAGATACTTCCAACTGGCTAGTCATACCGGCCGGTGGCCCTCCTCAACACTCTAGGGAAATTCCTTGAGTCGGTCATTGCGCGGCGTATTAGCTACGCAGTCGAGGAAGAGGGACTGCTACCACCAACGCACCTTGGCGGCCGAAAAGGGATCTCCACAGATCATGCGATTCACAATATGATCGATCGAGTCAAAATGGAATGGGGCAAGGGCAACCCGGTAGTGTCACTACTAATGCTCGATGTGTCTGGCGCGTACGACAACGTCTCCCACGAGCGCCTGATCCACAATCTTCACAAACGGCGGTTAGGACAGTTGGCCCCCTGGGTCAAAGCCTTCCTATCCTTTCGCAGCACCAAAATCAGGATGCCAGAGGGGATCCAGAGGGGATGTCAGGCACGATTCCAACCCCAACGGGGATCCCACAGGGCTCCCCAATCTCGCCAATACTATATCTGCTATACAATGCCGACCTGATTGAGGACTGCGGTCGCGATGTTACTAGCAATGGCTGGGTAGATGATGTCTGCTTCATGGCTTCAGGCCAGACAGAACGGGAAACCATCAAAAAACTACGGGGCGCATGCCGTAAGGCCAACCAATGGGCTAAACGGCATGCATCAGTTTTCGATCCAAAAAAGTATGCTCTGATGCACTTCGTCAACCCAAAGGAAATGGACACCGAATACACCCCTCTGATTCTACCAGAAACGACGGTCGAGGCTACTACTACGTCAGCACGATACCTCGGGTTCTGGCTAGACCCGAAGCTTGAATTCAACCATCATCGTCATCAGGCAGTTGCCAAAGCGGGTATCTCACTACATGCGCTACGGGGCCTCGCAGGCTCCACGTGGGGTGCTTCGCTTATGGCGATGCGCCAGATCTACCAAGCAGTGATTATACCACAGATGCTCTTTGGCATCGCGGCATGGTATCAACCACTATTGCTCACTAAAGAGAAGACCAAAGCTATCTGCCACCCATTCGCATCGGTTCAGAAGCGCGCAGCTTGTCTAATCGGCGGTGCTTTCAAAACTACGGCTGCAGAAGCCCTGAACATCGAACTTTTCTTGCCTCCAATTGCTCTTCACATGGAGAAATTAGCCAAAGAAACCGCACTACGATTACGCACAGGACCAAAGCACGCAGTGCCCCCGACGATGCTTCGGCGTCGGCCGGCGGAAGAGCGGGAATGGACTGGATGGACACCAATGGAGGCGCAAGCCTGGATGAAGGGCGGATGCTTGAAGGCTCCCCCTGAAGCTGTGGCAGGCGCGTGGGAGAGCCGGAAAGCATTCGTCCGGGAACCATGGCGTGCACCACCGGAGGTGATCATCGACGACCGCGAGACTGCTGTACAAGTACACAATGAGATTATGATCAGACCTTCGAACACACGGCCTTTGATCATCTACACCGACGGAAGTGGCTACGAGGGGAGGATTGGAGCTGCGATGACTGTCGACTTAGACGATCAGCACCGACTCTCCCAGATGGGAACAGACGACATGTCGACCGTATATGCTGCAGAGCTGCGAGCGATCGAGATGGCGCTTGACTGGGCCCAGATCGAAGTCAAAAACCAAGAAACCGAGATCAACAACGGGGTGGTAATCTTTGCAGACAGCCAGGCTGCGCTCAAAGCACTCCGCCGCCCCCGAATGCCATCAGGACAGATTTACTTATCTGGTTGCCTCGACGCCCTGCGTTGGTTGACAGATAGGGGTATCGCAGTGGAATTCCGCTGGATCCCTGCCCACCAAGGGGTTCCTGGCAACGAGACAGTAGATCGGCACGCTAAGGATGCCGCTCAGGCAGACTTTTGTTCCCAGAACAACGAAAATCGGTATATCAGGCTCGCGGCAGCGACTAAGCGCCGGTTCCGCCAAGAGATGCTGATTGCGTGGGAAGCCGCATGGGCATCCGAAAGGGTTGGTGCCGCGACAAGGCGCCTAATCGAGGCACCGACGAAGAAGGTGCTTGAGTACTGGTCGGGACTGCGCAAAGCGACATCCTCAGTCATGCTTCAGCTCCGGACAGGGAAGATCTCGCTGGCATCATACCTCCAGAAGATCAATAGGAGGGAGTCAGCGCGTTGTGCCTGTGATCTGGGTAACCAGACGATCGGGCATGTGCTACTGCAATGCCCCCTCTTAAGTGACCAACGGGAGATGCTTCGCTATGAACTGGCTGAGGCAGGCGTGTCAATGGCCGCTGGACACGACGAACTACTCCGACAGAAGGTCGCAGCTCCAGCTGTGGCCAAATTCATGATCGATTCAGAGCTCTTGGAACAGTTTCAGGCAGTGGAGCCTGTTGCCACGGGTGTGGAGGATGGTGAAGGCGAGAACGACGAAGAAACATGATTGATCCCAAAGGGCAGTGAGACGGTGGGAGTATGATGGGGAGCCGAACAGGGGCGTGTATTCCTGGTCGATCACGCCCCCTTGTCATCCAAAAACATCACAGGAAGCGGCTGCTGCAGTCGGGGGAATGGCTCGGTGGGGACGGTTCGTGGGTGTCACGTCGCAATGATAGTCCAGCGAGCTCAGTGACGCGAGACCTCGGTGATTCGAGGGAGCTGGTGGAAGCAGAGGGCAGTTGAGGGTGCAACGAGGACAATTGGTGCAGCGAGGACGTTTGGGCAGTTGAAATACTGTGGGTAGTTGGACTGTGGGGATCAGGGGGAAGACGGTCACACCTCTCCTTTTGTTTTTCCTTTGTCATCATTTATTCTACTTTGGTCACGTGCTCTGGTTCAAACCAGGCACTGGGTACTAATTTGGGCTCTGGGAGTCATTCTCTCGGCTGTCAGGCAGGCCTGACAGCACTCCCGCATAGCGGCTGTATCTAAAGCAAGCTACATCGGGCAAATGAACTATTGATTGATTGATTGATAGACAATTAATAAAAGAATAATATTTAAATACAATATAAATAAACTAAAGCAATAATAAGAGAATTCTATAGTGATTATGTCAAGTCTATGAAGATATACTGGAGTTGTATATGGTAGATATATATATCTACACTTCATTCAAGAAAACTTTCACTAAACCAAAAAACACTACTTTGTCACCTTAACTTAGCATTTAAATAGGTAATTTACAACAACGAAGATAAACTATCTTAGATCACAGACTTATTTCTTAATTTTTCAAAGGGATTATACTAGAAAAGCATAGTGGTTCAAAGTATGAACCAGAACCGATGTAAAAAACAGTATGTTATTTTGATGACAGAGCAGCTTTATGATTGGAATTATGCAAAAGTTGGGTTGAGTTGGGCCCAAATTGGGTTTTACTGGGGCCCCAGTATTGGGTCCGGGTTGGGTTCTGGGTCGTAACCTTCGACCCAAATTGGGTTATGCGGAAGTCTAGTCCGTACGATGTAGAAGTCGCGATTTTGTATGCTCGGCGAAGTATTGTAACCATTTGATATGCGCGGACCTAAATAATTGATTAATTAATTGATTAATCAATCAATTGAATGAATAAGCGCTTACCTCATTATTCCAGCCTGTTGGCGACGGGAATTGATAGGGACACAACAGCTTTTGTTAGGGACACAACAACTTATGTAATATGGGTAATTACATAGGTAAAAATGTCATGTGATTTGTATTAGGATTACCACAGCAACATCATTCCTTGTCTGTTCAACTATAAAATCGCCCCCGCCCCCTTTTTTCTTCTAAAGCTCTGTAGTTATCTAAATCAAAATGGAGCCCCCTACAGAGCAGATCTTTGATTCTAGAGAGCTATTAATAGGCTCTATACGTCAGCATGCTCTCTCCCAAGGCTACGCTATCACTACTATAGCATCAAATACGAATCGAAACGTTACTCTCGGCTGTGATCGTGGTGGAATCTATCATGATCGAATTAATGCACCCGAAGGTGCAAAGCGACGATTGACAACTACACGACGAATTGGATGTCCATTTAAGCTATATGGGAAGAAGATTCCTGATGAAGGTGAGTGGGTGCCTGAGGTGTCAGCGCCCACCGCCGTTGTAGATAGACCTTTCCCTTCTGGGAATCTAGGAATACCATCATCATCTCTCTCCGCTTCTTCTTCTGCTCTTCCTAGTGATCCCCGATTCCAGGTCTTTGCCATGCCGGTCTCCGACTCCCCCTGAGCCACGACCGTCATCAATTCCTAATAGTGAGAAGTGGGAATTAAAGGTACGAAGCCCACGTCATAATCATGAGGGGACTAATACTACTATGATAGGTCATCCATCTGGTCGCAAATTTACAGAGGAGCAGCTTCAAAATATCCTTTATATGTCTGAGGTTGGATCAAAGCCCCGTGATATCCTTGCTCTAATTAAAAGAGAGTATCCAAATACTCTAGTCACCCCTAGGGATATCTATAATGCTCGAAGTGCTTTACGCAGACAGAAGCTTGGTAATAGCACCCCCGTTGAAATTTTTACTAAAAGCTTTACAAGAGAATGCTTGGAAATATACTTTGAAACAAGATATAGAAGGACGTATCCTCTTTTTTATGTTTGCACACCCTGAATCAATTAAATACGCTAATAAATATAATAGGGATTTTGTGCTAGATTGTACTTATAAAACGAATCGATATCAAATGCCTCTATTACATATTATTGACATATCACCTTCAAATTCAACATTTAATATCGCATTCTGCTTTATGCGAAATGAAGAAGAAGAGAGCTATATTTGGGCTTTAAAGGCCTTTTTCCCTTTTCTAAACCCCTTACCTTTTGAACCAGTTCTTTGTACTGATCGAGATCTCGCTCTATTAGGTGCAATTAAGGCTATCTACCCTACGTACCCACATTTACTTTGTATATGGCATATTAATAAAAATGTGACCCAAAAAACAAAGCAGCACTTTTCTACGAATGACGATCATCAAGAATTTCTACAATCGTGGAATCAGCTTATCTATTCAACTACAGAAAGTGACTACAATTCTAGGCTTCTAAAATTTAAGAAGCAATTTCAATCTTCCCCCTCTCCCCTTCGCTATTTAGAGGAAACGTGGCTAATTCATAAGGAGAAATTTATAGTTGCGTGGACACAGCAATACCTACACCTAGGTAATTCTGCGACCTCTCGAGTTGAAGGCTCACATGCCTTTTTAAAAAAGCATATAGGAGCTTCATCAGGGGATATGTTACTTGTATTGAAAGGATTTCACAAGCTTTACAAGCCCAACATGCTACGCTTGAATATGATTTTGCAAGAGATCAAATTGAAAGGGTAGTAGTACCCTCACAAAAGCTTTTCACTAATATTTTGACTAGGACTTCTCGATATTCGATTCGACGAATTAGTGAGCAAGTTTCAAAGGCTAAAAGAGCTACAGATCTAGCTCCTTTGCTTCCCTGTACAAATACATTCACAAGAACTATGGGCCTGTCTTGCGCACATCGAATTTCTAGTCTATTAAAGAACAATCAGGCTATTCCGTTGACAGATATCCACCTATTCTGGCGAATTGGCCTTAATGAGGGCGCATTAGACTATCTTCCAATTTTAGAGCCGTTGATTCCCTTACCAAGGCCTAAACGGAAGCGTGTTCAGGATCAGGGAGGCGAAGGGGAGCTTGGTCAGAAGCGGAAGAAGGCAGCGCCAAAGTGTAGTACATGTGGTGAAGTTGGGCATACGCGAAGATCATGTAAATAATAGAGTGTGTGTGAAATTCAGATACAGATCACATGACTATTATACTTATGTAATTACCCATATTACATAAGTTGTTGTGTCCCTAACAAAAGCTGTTGTGTCCCTATCAATTCCCGTTGGCGACGTCGCAATGACAGTCATCTGGTAAATCTGTCTGGTCTCGATACCAATTCTCAAGGTGAACTGTGCCAGCAAATAGAATCATCGGAGGCATTATCCAACCGTCTGCTGCGATGCATTCAATTGCTGTCACTAATTCTCCTATACCACCGGTTGGGACATGCTTTGTCCTATCTAGAAACTGTCACAACTTTCTGGGATTTTCCTTGGCCAAGTTGGAAGCCCGTTTCGTCGACATTGTAGATATTGCTCGGTCCGATTTTGGACTCTCGTATCTCACCACCTAATTTATGGAACCACTCAATTATCATTGGTAATCTCTCTGCGTCTATCCTCTTCGCTTCCATAGGTTTTTTGGGTTTGAAATTTGAAGGTTTCAGGGAGGCGTTTCATAAAACGATGAGGTCCAACTTTTGCTGACGCGTCGGTCGGAACCACTTCGTAACAAAATGTCATTTGCAGCAACTTCTATCTCGTACGGAAGAGGTGAGAGATTGGCACGGTCAAGGGCACGCATCAAGGCAATTAATGCCTGCTCTTGGCCTTCATCAAGCGCCCTATTTGGTCCGGTACGAGCTGAACGAGATTCGCGGCCCTGAACGCGTCCCCGCCACTGCTTGTAGGGAATGCCAAATTCCCGGGCCAGTGGTGCAATTTTTGGTTTGCCACGATCATGGTACACGCTCAAAGCACTTGCAATTCTTTTCTCGATTTCAGGATCAAACTTGGACATCGTGGTGGTTGGTAATGAGAGGTAGAAATAGGAGGGTTGGAAGAAAGTTTCCATTAGACTGACTTTCCATTAGACTGTGGAAGGCCCTCACCAGCGAGAGCGGTGAGCGCCCGACTTATTTATTTGGGGGGCGGGTTTAGGTTATATATATATATATTCTCCGTGGTGACTCCCATTTCATGAGACGGTATCAGTCAACTCTCGCTTATGGCACGCCCGGATCTAGCACACATCGGGTTATGGCACACAAATTTAACGGACGGACCCACTTTCCACCATTTACCATATGAGTAGACCACTTATGGCACATTCAGCTAAAACACACCCCTTTCCCTTCCCATTTTTGCTTAGTCAACAGAGCAGACCAATCACAATGCAGGATTCTAACCTTTCAGCCAAAGATGCCTACCGCCAGGCGTTCTAGGAAGGGCATATCTGACCCCCAAAAGCAGGCTCTACGCGTCTATGCATCTGAAACACATCCTAAAACTTCCCAAAAAGCCTGCGTTGAATGGTTTCGGTCCCAATTTGGTCGCCTTATCGATCGCGCCACTGTCTCGAAGATCCTTTCATCCAAATACCAGCATCTTGATACTGGTCCAGCTGGTCTAAATATGCGTTCTTCAGCATTGCATTGGCCTATTTTAGACGAAAAGCTCTTTGAATGGCAGCAGCGACACCAGGATGCTGGCTTTCCAATAACAGGGCCACTACTTCGGTTTAAAACTATCGAATATTGGAGGAAAATACCAGAATATGCTGAGCTTCTAATGCCTCTTTTTTTGCGATGGTTGGCTTACCCGGTTGAAACAACGTCACTCCCTCCGGTATCGTACCTTCCATGGAGAGTCTGCATCAGTCCCAACCTCAATTCACGACGAGATAAAACCTATCCAGGCGATCTGCGATCAATATCTGCCTCAAGATATCTACAATATGGACGAAACTGGGCTTTACTGGCGTCGTATGCCAAACGGTGGCCTTCAACTGAAGGTTATGCTGGTCAGAAGAAGGATAAGGTCCGAATCACTATCGTAATAGAGACGAATGCTACTATTTAGACCGACTACCTCTATGGTTGATTGGGACTACAAAGACACCACGCGCCCTTCGGGGGGTAAATATGCGAGCGATCGGGTGTATCTGGCGCTGGAATAAGAAGGCATTGATGCGAAGTGGAATTATGGGAGAATGGCTCCGCTCATTTTATAAGCATATTGGCAAAGAAAGACGAGTCCTACTTTTGCTTGACAATTTCTCCGCTCATCTATGCGCGCTTGAAGATGCGCCGCCGCCGTCTAAGATTAAGGTGCTATTTTTCCCGTTAAATGCGACGTCGATTTACCAACCACTAGACCAAGGAAGTATCTAGAACCTAAAGCACTATTATCGGAGGAAATGGATGCGTTGGATGGTCAATATCCTTAATCGGAACATTGATCCTCGAGAGAAAATGAGCCTTAATTATACCCTATACTGGATTACCCAGGCATGGCGTAATAATGTGCTTGATTAGACTATACAACTGTTTTAAGAAGAGTACTGTCATTAGTCGTTCCGATCAGATAGAAGGGTCACCAGAAGCGCTAGAGCTAGGTGATCTATATCAAAGCTTGATAGGCTTCCTAAATCCATCAGACGAAAACGACGCCGACGAGCCTGATTTATCTGATATAATCCTTGATTTGTCGGGTGGTGGCAACGGCGATGGCACTGATGACCAGGATGACGAATATATATCTGGACCATCTCCAGACCTACCATCTGGTGCTACAGTTATCGATAGCATGCAGGAGGCGCTTCTATGGGCTCAGCATCAAGAGGGTGCCACTGAGGAGAACATTCGCCAGATAGAGGGTCTAATAAGTCTGTTTACTAGGCTTCAGTTGGATGGGAGGAAACAGAAGACGCTAGAGCAGTTCAACTTCCTAATGCGGAAGTAAAGTTAGTCATCAGATTACATCTGGCACAATCCGCTTATGGCACATGGATTTCGTAGGATGGTGGGCTGTGTCATTAGCGAGAGTTGACTGTATCTCCACTTGGATGTAGCCGACAACAAGTTGGTCCAGCTAGAGCCGTCGAATTCTTGCCTCTGTGACTGTCCGGTTCAACTAAGAAGAAGAAGAAGAAGAAGAAGAAGAAGAAGAAGAAGAAGAAGAAGAAGAAGAAGAAGTGACATTCTACAAGAATCTTCAAACTGGAGAGAAGAAGAAGAAGAAAACAGAAAGGGAAACAGGCAAACTAAATACAGAAGCGTTGCAAACAGTGCAAACACGGTCACAATATCCAGGCCTGTTCTTTCAGGTCTTCACACTGACAATTTTGAAACTCACAAACGTAGGGTTTTTTCCCGGTGTGTATTCTCTGGTGGACCTTCAGGGAAGATTGCTGGTTGAACCGTTTGTTGCAGTTCTCTTCGGGACAGGTGGAGGGCCGCTCATTTGTATGAATCTGATAGTGTCGGCAGAGGTTACATCTGCGAATAAATGCCTATGATGGGGTGTCAGAAGGATCATACAATAGCAGACATCATCACTAACCTTTTCGCAGGAGTCCCGTGGGCAGTATTTTGCACGATCCACTTTCTGCGATTAATACTCGCCCGTAGGCTCAAGTAAGCGGAACCAGAGATTTTCTTGCTATTTTTGACGCCTTGGCTTACAGAAATAAAATGCCGAACTCCTGCTGCTAGTAAAGGAAACAAAAAAAACTTGAGCATATAGCGCGCGCCACAAACCTCAATTCGCAGCGTTGAGCATTGGAAGAAAAAGGAACTCGGTATACAGTAGATCGTTACTGTTCAGAGTTAGCCTAATAGAGAGATGGTCCTGACGCCACATGACTGTCAGTTGACGGCTGCTTTATCCATCCAATCGGATAAGCTGCAGGGTATAAGGCAGTTAACAATTAACCCCTGCTTGTAGATTTGAGATACCTGTCTTTTCCCAGAGCGGGTTGGCGGCATTAAGTACAAGTTAGCATAGTCCGCTAGATCTCATACACGACTAGGAGTCAGAACACGAACACGGCCCAGCCATTCATTGTCGGGAGGTAAGGGATCAAGCATCCGTGCCAAGAGAGCTCTGCGGGCTAGAACAACAAGCTGTCCGCGGGCAAGCCTCCGCACTGCGGGACTTGCCCAAACTATGAGAATGTCAATCATATCGTGAAGGACAGAATTTGTAGTAGTTCATGGGAAATACGGCCATAGGGCGTGGTTGAGAGATAAACTTGCAACATTGTTATTCTCGAGTCTGGCGACCGAAAGCCCCATGTAAGAGTTATGCATACTTCCATTTGCAGCTGAACGTGCGTAGCAGCCTTCAATTCAATATTTGCGGATATCATCCCCTTTTCTGACCCTGTTCGTCGTCGTCTTTTTTTCTTTTGTCTTTTTCTTTTTTTTTTTTTGGGAAGGGGTTCTCTCTCTCTCTCTATAGGGTTTCAAGTAATGCCCCCCAAGGGACCAAGGGTTATAGATCCCTCAGTGAAACAAATAAAAGTATGTAGAAAGCGAATGATTGCGAGTGACTAAATTTTTACAAAAGTACTCCAGTTAACATTTAACGCTTCTGTTTTCATTCCTTTTACCAGTACGTTGCGTTATTTTCTGTTTCGGTGCTGCAGCAAGAGACCGAGCGAGGATGGCCACCGACACCAACAGCACTCAGGGTTTCACAGATCCGCGGATCTTTGCGTCATTTGATTGCATAGACAATGCTCCGTGCACTCGTTGGACTGATTGGGCGGACAACTTGGCGAGTGAAACTGTCAACAGTCTTACCTCTAGTTTATCTCAAAGTACGGCAAACGGTTTCCCTTGGATTGGTACTTCAGGAAACAACAAGCAGCAGCCTAACTTGAAGCTTCCTATCCCTCGGATATCGCGTCATATCGACTGGAACAGCGGCGGTAGGGTCAGGCTGGCCTGCGAAAACTGCCGAGAACAAAAAGCTAAATGCAGTGGCCATCGTTCAACCTGCCATAAATGCCAGGCCAGCGGCCTCCGCTGCAGTTATGGGGACCGAAAACGAGAGAGAACCGAAAAGTGAGTGGCTTAAACCTTGGAGACTAGAATTTCTTCTGATGGTCGAATTAGACGACTGAATGATCTGACTGCGGAAGTCCAAGCTTTGAGGGCTCTTTTGCATGAGTTATATCCCAAACTCGACGTTCTATCTGCCCAACATGTTGATCGAAACCTCCACAAAGTGCGTTGTAAGCTTCGTGAAATAGAATCATCCATACTTTTAGGTGGTTTCGACATACTCCTGAATACCTCTGGGATCCTCCAAATAGCATTCAATGCGGCCTTCTCACGGACACGCTCGAATAGATCTCGATGATTGTTGGAGCTCGTGCGACTATCAGGCGTAAGAACTGCAGGCACAGAAGGTTCTCGTATGGCAGCTTCGATATTACTCCGCTGATCAGGTTGATTGGGTCATTGCCACGTAAGGAGCGTCTTCGCATCGCTAGACATCCTACTTAGGCCGGAGGTAATGTCAGGAGGTGCAGTTGAAAGCATCTCAATGACTCTATCGTCCGTCATTTGCAGAATAGGTTCCGAGGTAGCTGATTGGGCAGACATTTTCACAGACAGAAGTCGGTAAAATGGATACTGATTGGTTGATTCACAATGGTCGAATGGTTTCACAAGTTTTCGTGCGATCCCTCGCACGGAGGCAGCTTCTCTTCCTTACAGAGATATATCCGCCTCCAAACAGCCGTCCACGTCATCAATGCTTTCTATACAGCATTATGGATGGTCTGTTCGTCATTGACAGCCTCCGGTGCAGTCTAAAATTCGACACTGATATCAGAACTCTTCCGCATGGTTCCGGAGTCCAATGGCTATGCCTTGCGGACATCCGCAAGGTCATCACACGATTCCCGCCCCAGCCGATGGAATCGTCATTGTCGTACATCGTTGAACCCAGAGAATGATAGCAGTAGTTGGGACTGCCATCCCTTTGCGGGCTCACCAGCACTAGCCACTGCTAGTGCTCCGAAAGTCCTCTCGGTGAGGATCGTGGATGATCGCGGCCCTCTATTGGCACCACGATCAACGGCTGCTCTAACAATGTCCATACGGGCACTGTATAGAGCCCTCGCAAGCAGTTCAAAGAGGCCATGCTTGCGAGCCTACCCTGATAGATAGGGTCTATAAGAGAGACATGCTACCAAATGTAAGACGAAATGAGTGTTGGAGCAGCAATTAAATACAGAAGGGGTCGATCATGTGACCGCACGTGAACCGTAAGAGCTCTGTAAAGCGATTCCCGATCTCACATGGGCGGCACAACAGGACTACCACTTTGGGCTCTGGGAGCCACTCTCTCGGCTGTCAGGCAGGCCTGACAACACCCCCGCATAGCGGCTGTATCTAAAGCAAGCTACATCGGGCAAATGAAGTATTGATTGATTGATTGATTGAAGATCCGTCCATTCTCCATGCCGATGCGTCTTCCGTAACTTTGAAATCTGGTAGTCACGATTCACAAGCTGGCAGGACCATTCCCTTGGGTCGAGTTCCTTCGACACATACAAGCACACCCCTGGTGGTTCGTCGTCCGGCGTTTTCGGATAGAGCAGCTGAAACGAGGCTGATGCTGGTTGCTGTGTGGTGTTGGAAAAGGTATTCCTCCACGGTTCCTGCACCGCAATGATGCTGGCCTTTAGTACCTCATCGTCCCGGAGAAACGAGGCCATGACTGGCTGCGACTTGTTCACATTGTACTGTAGGATTTCGAACTTATTCATTGTAAAGGTCATTGTCAATGTTGTCTTGGTCGTCATGGTCGGAGCGATCGCTGCCGTCGGATGCTTCAAAGAACTGTTCATCGTCGATGATCTCTAAAGGGTTGGTTGCTGTTGTTGCTGCCTCTGGGGCTGCCTGTGGGGAAGAGCTGCCAAATGCAAGGAAAGAGGGGATGTCGAAGCTGAGATCAAGTCCGTGGCTTGGGACTTGCGTGTCTTCTGTAGGCGCTGGTACTCGGGCCATTGGGGGTCTGATGCGGAGCTTGACCATCTTCTCCCTCATCAGAGAATTGGTGCCTGCGGCTCCGAACTGTCGTAGAAGATGGCCTGCCTCACTTGAGATAGTCCTCCCCTTCTGGCGCTGCGGTTGTGAGGGCGGTTGCTGTTGTTCTTGTTGTTGTGGTTGGGTCGCCCATATATCTGTATCTGGATCCTCGTCCATAACGTTCTCTGGTTCCACCATCCTACGCGTTCGTGAGACACATTGTCGTACGCTCCAGACACGTCAAGCATCAGTAGTGAAACTACTGGCTTGCCCTTGCCCCATTCCATTTTGATTCGATCGATCATATTGTGAATCGCATGGTCTGTGGATATCCCCTTCCGACCACCAAGGTGCGTCGGGGGCAGCAGTCCCTCTTGCTCGACTGCCTAGCTAATGCGCCGCGCGATGACCGACTCAAGGAACTTCCCTAAGGTGTTGAGGGGAGCCACCGGCCTATATGATTTGGCTAGTTGGAAGTCTCTCTCGCCCCCTTTGCGGAGAACCACTGTGATTGATTTGCGGAAGTGTGTGGGGCTGTATCCGAGTCGGACACACGCGTTGAATAACTGAAGTAGCGTATTCATGACCACCGGGAGGTTGATTAGTCTGTGCCAGAGGGAGATTGGGAGACCGTCTTCTCCTGGAGCCCTTCCTGCCTTAGCAAACCGTCCTGCGTCCTGGATTTCATGTGCGATGATGAGCGGGAAACCGATTGGTTCGGGGTAGTTGAAATTGATGATATCCGATAGGTCAGCCGGCGATGGTTATGGGAAGAAGGCGGTTTGGAATGCCGCTGCTTTTTCGTCAACGGTCTCTGCAACTGTCCCATCCAGCCGTTTCAATGAAGGGGTAATGCCGCGCTCGTACGCTCCGTCCCGGTTGCGGGCCCATTTGGCAAGGCGCCACACGCCCTGGGGTCCTTCCTCAATGGCCTGCTGTACCCGTTGCCGGTGGGCTTGAGTAAGCGTGCCTTTGACGAGTCGTTTTTTCCAATTGCGGACCTCTTTGTAGCGTATCCAATCGTAGGGGTTCTTTGTCTTGCGATGGCGCCTCCTTAGTTGGCGTACTAGCTTCACTGTGTCTTTGCATTGTTGGGTAAATCCGGGGGTCGCCCACTCCGATGGTTTCGCCCATGGGGTAGACACATCGACGGCTGTCTCGATCACCCTAATAAATGCATTGCAATCTAGCTCAATGCGCATTGGGCCGGCCTGGGACGATTCCCGGCTGGTTTAATGGTCTTCGATGAACTCCACGAGTTTCTTATCATCAGTAGCATTCCAGTTCCTCCGTTTGGGAGGTTCGGATAATGGTGTGCCGATGTCAAGCTCTGTTCTGATTGGGAAATGGTCTGATGCGTGTTCTAGATCATCAGCTCTTTCGCACCGAACAAGCGTAGAATATAGACTCGACGATATAAATGTAAGATCGATGACCAATGATTGATCTCGGCTTGACCACGTCTCTATTCTCTCCTCCGTCGTCAACTGGAGCCCCTGTTCATGCATGATTAGAAGCAGATCTTCCGCCTCCTGGTGGATCTGGGTTCCTAGTCCTCCCCACGCTGGGTTGTGGACATCCATGTCACCGAGGACGATATGCTCTCCGAATGGGCGTTTTGCAAGCTCCTCTCTAAGCACGTCGAATGTGCCGCTGCCCAGCCTGTTGTAGATGTTGTGAATGAAGAGATCAGTCCAATCCCTTCCCTGGTGCGCACGCCGGACCTTTGGGATTTGATAATCCGTTGTGACCTGTTGGCATGACCACGTTCTGGGGTCAATCTTCTTCGATACGAAAAGGCAGACCCCGGTTGGACTTGGTCCTGCTGTTTTGGGGTACAGCAGTTGGAATTTTGCTGTCGCTCGCTGGTATGTGGTTCTGTTGCGATCATTTCCTCCATGGCTCCTGCACTGCGACCACGTCGGTCGCTGAAACACTCTCGTCCCGTAAGAACGACGCCATCGCATCCCACCACTTGTGCACATTGTACTCAAGGAGTTCAAACGATATCATTATTGTTGAATCTCGTCCTCACTTTCTTGCTCATTATCGTTGTCCTCAGAGGAGGAGCTTTCGTCGAAGTCCTCATCGTGTCTTGGATTGTCCGTTGGCCGGTGAGGGTCGCTTGCGATAAAGATCGGGGATGATCTTAGCGCCTGTTCTAGGGTCGGGTCTAGTGTTTGGGCTGTGGGTTTGGCATATTTAAGCCGGAGCATGAGGGATCGGAACTCCGGGCTTGAGGGATCTATCTCTGGCAGCTCAGGTTGTAAGTCTGGGGTCTCAACCCGTTCGTTGATAGTGGTGAATTCGTTGGTGAGCGACGTTAAGGGCGACATCTCCTCACCAGCTTCAATCGGCGGTAGCTGGGACCAGAAATTGTCGTCCGGCTGTTCATTCATCACGTCCGCAGTCTCCGCCGTCCTCTGCTTCCTGGACACGGTGAACCCATCAAGAGACTGGCCCTGCTCTCTTTGGGATGACCGGGTAACACGGCCTGGGTTTGTTACTAGAGCGCTGTCAGTATGCCCTCTGACAGGCGCAACGCCATCCTTCGACTTGTTCTTGGAGCCTTTGGGTCGGCCCCGTTTTGGTTTGGGCTGTACATAATAATCTGCAAGCGATGCTCCATTGGTAGCCTCCGCCATCCGTGCCTCTCTCCGAGGCGTCCTTGGTTTGGTGGCGTGTGGCACCACTGGCGCATGGGTAGATGCATCCAGACCATTATCCGCGGTCGAAGCTGCGGGTCTTGGCCTGTTGTGGGATATAGTGTTGCCGCTGTTTGCGGAATCCCTGAAGTGCAGCGGAACGCGATGCCATGCCGGACAGTTGAGTAGAGCCTGCCGGGCCACAGCAATCGCTTCGTGCTTCACCGGACAACTGTCACTAACTGGACGATGTCCATCGCCGCAGTAGGCGCACTTGATAGTAACGTTCTGGCCTTTGGTCGCCTTGCACTCCCAGGTCGGGCGTTCGGCGGCACAGTAGCCACATTTGGGGTCGTTGGGGCAGTGGGACTGTATGTGCCCAGGTTTTCGGCACTTCTTGCATAGGTTCGACCGGCCTTCGCGGCATAATCGGACAGCCTGGAGAACTTGGTTCTCCCAGATCACTCCTGCACTGATTGCCTGGTTAGCTACAGTCGGGCTCGCGAACTCAATCACAATAGGTCCTTTGTGCTGCCTCGGGTGGGCGTCGGAGCCAACTCAGGTGTAGGATATCTGCCTTCCCACCCCAGGTATAGCTATTGGCCCTTTGCAGTTCTGACACCACGCTTGACATCGTCTCCGAGGAGAGCTTCATCCTTCGTACCGGGACACCGTGGGCCACGACGCCCCAGGTTACGTGCTGGATGACCGCATCCACGCCAAACGCCTTTGCCCAACCAGTATGTTTACATAGAAGCTCTGCTCCAGCAGCGTTGTTGGCCACCATCGTAATATCTCCCGAGGGCAGTTTCCGAGCTGCGACGAAGTACGCCCCCTCAGCAAGGGCAGCGGAGTTTTTCTGTCTCGCCACGGCCTCACGCTGCCGTTCCGCCTGTTCGACGAGCTCCCTCGGGGCCTTAAGCCGGAGCTGGGCGTGGCTTGCACCCGTTACTTTGATGGTGACCTCACGGTCCTCCTGGAGCTCAAGTTCTGGCACTCCCGGAGACGAGGTGCCATTGCTACGGGCAGACACCGCGGCCGCTTGGACAAGTCCTCGCTGCCAATCCTTGGTGCTCCGGAAGCTAGTCCAGTTCGCCGCCGCCTGGGTCGTACTGATCGTTGTGTTTGTGCTTGACGATATAGTGGTCGCTGCTTTCTCGATGGTGTCCATGCGTTCGCTTAGGCGGTGAAGGCCTGGGACGTGTCATTAGACAACTTTTCCAGAGTTTGGGTGACCTTCGCATCGCGACCGCGTCGCCTCGCTGGGCACTGATTGCGTACTGGTGGACCTGTCTGACAAATCCAGAGATGTATTCGTCATTGTTCCGCGTCATTTGGATGTGTTGAAGCACCACCTGCGCAGCCTGGGCGATCTCGTCCACGCTGGTGAGGGCCAGGGGTGCCGTGGATTGTTTGGTTTTTCTCCCCCCGACCCCCTATCGGGAGGCAGTTTATGTGCGTTTGCAGCCGTCGCAACGATCGCAGCCATCTTTCCCAATGAGATTGGTACTAGACGATAGCACCCGCCGTCACTTAAAATTTGAACAATTTCTCAGAGCCGTAGGGCCCCTGGTGGTCGAGATATTTCAAGAATACGTTTTTGCCAAGAAAGAGTTGTTCTTTTTTGAAACATACAGTCTTGACTGCTTCGCTACACTCTTCGTTGAAGTCACAGTTCGACCACTAGCATGGCTTAGCCCATGGGGTTGACGCCTCAATCGCGGACGCAATGATTCTCATAAGGGCTTGGCATTCAAGTTCGATGCGCATCCGTCCTGCCGTAGACAAATCACGGGCTGGGCATTGCATATGTTCTTCGATGATTTCGACTAGCACTTTGTCGTCTGTGGCAGACCAATTCCTTCTCTTCGGTGGCTCAGATTGTGGTGTTTCGATGTCGATAACCGTACGGATAGGGTAGTGATCAGATTGGTGTTCGATGTCGTCTGCTCTCTCGCTCTGGACAAGGCGCTCAATAAGCGTTTGGCTTACAAAAGTGAGATCGATGACTGATGATAACCTCCGCGCTCCCAGGTGAGCTTCCCTTCTTCTGTGAGCAGGTCTATTTTGGACTCGTCTAGAACAATCAAGAGATCTTCAGCTTCTTGATCGATGTCGGTGCCTGGGCTTTCCCAAAGAGGATGATGGATATTCATGTCCCCCACGATGATATGTTCGCCGTGTGGTCTCTTGCGTAGCTCGTTTCGTAGCACGAAGGGCGTGCCCGTGTCTGGTCGATTGTAGACGTTGTGGACGAAGAGATCAGTCCAATCACCATCCCGGTGCGCTCCTCCCGTAGCTTTAGAATCTGGTAGTCGCGATTCACTAGCTGGCATGACCATTCTCGCGGCTCGAGCTTCTTCGATACGTATAAACACACCCCCGGTGGCTCGTCATCCGGCGTTTCGGGTAGAGTAGTTGAAACGGAGCTGAGGCTGGTTGATGGGTGGTGTTTGAGAGTGTATTCTTCCACGGTTCTTGCACCGCAGTGACGTCCGCCTGTAGCACCTTATTGTCCCGGAGAAATGATGCTATGACTGGTTGCGACTTGTTGACATTGTACTGTAGTATTTCGAACCTATTCATTGTAAAGATCGTTCTTGTTATTGCTATCGTCGTTGTGGTCTCCGTGCATAGAGTGGCTGCCGTCGGATGCTTCAAAGAACTGATCGTCATCGACAAGTCCTATAGGATCCTCGCTCTCCGACTCAGGCGCTGCCTGTTTGGTTGGGGGGGCCGGTGGAAGGAAAAGGTGGGGGGGGGAGGAGGGGGAACTGCCGAATGCGAGGAAGGAGGGGATCTCAATACCGAGGTCGAATCCATGGCTCGGGGCCTGGGTGTCTTCTGTAGGTGTCGGAGCCGGTGGTTGAGGGGGGTTGATGCGAAGTTCTAAAAGTTTCTGCTGTCGGCGCGGTGGCGGATTGCGTCCAAGCTGACGGAAGAGGTGACCGGCTTCACTTGAGAGGGTTGTACCTTGCTAGTGCCGTGGTTGAGACTGAGGGGGGAGTTGCTGTTCCTGTTGTGATTGAGTGGGCCAGAGACCTGTGTCTGCGTCTTCCTCCATGAGATTCTCCGGTTCAACCATGCGGCGTCTTTTTTGTCGGCTGTGAAGTAGGCGTTCTGGGTCAGTCATTAACTGGACGAGCTCCTGCTGGGAACGGGACGTTCTCGACCGTCTCGATACGGCGAGGGTAGATTCTGTGATCTCTGGCTGTGTAGGGAGGTCATCGTCCTCCCCCGCTGCAGATTCTTTGGACCTGTTTTTTGATCCTTTTGGGCCGCCGGGATCCCTACGGATCGGAGCTGATTGCTGCGTTGATGGGATGTCGATGTTGATAGTTGCAGTGTTGGTTGCTGGGGTCTGGGCCGCTGGAGCGTGGATTGAGCTGTCGAGAGTAGTGCCTGCCGCAGTTCTTACTAGCATTGGATCTGGACTGTTCCCCTTTTCCGCTGGCCGTGGATGGAAGCGAAGAGGGACACGATGGTACGATGGGCATCGCGCTCGTATCTCGTCCGCAAGCTTCCGAGCTTCCTGTTTCACAGGACAGTCTGTGCTCGTCGGTCTATGACGGCCGTCGCAGTTAGCACATTTGGTTGTAACGGGCACACCGCGCTCCGACTCGCACTCCCAGGTCGGGTGCAGCTTCGCGCAGTGGCCACCAGTGAAATCTTTGGCTGGACAGTGTGATTGTATATGCCCCAGTTTCTGGCATTTACGACACAGCTTCACCCTACCGTCCCGGCAGAAGAAGACGACTGTATGGATCTCGTGGTCCCAGACCAAACCCGCGTCGATGGCTTGATTGGCCACGAAAGCGTTGTCAAATTCGATCACTACCGATGCTTCGCGCCTGCTGTTGCCAGGACGAGTGAGCCAGCTGAGGTGCAGGATCTCTGCCTTACCACCGCCCCACGTCATCGAGTTCTGGCGCTGAAGTTCAGAGGCCAAGCCAGCCGCGGCCTCCGTCGTGAGGTTGAACGTCTTCACAGGAAGAAAATGGACGAAGACGCCCCACGATGGCTTCTGGACCCGAGCCGCGGGGCCAAAGAAACTCACCCATTCCGTATGACGTCGGAGGAGCTCAGCACCGGAGGCTGAATTGACCAGCATCGACACGTCCCCGAGGGCAGCAGAGGTCTTCTTACGTGCCTGCTTCTCACGCAACTGCTCCGCCTTTAGTACCATCTCCTTCGGCTGCGTTTGGCGCAGCTTCTCACGATTCGCATTGTCAACCTTCACAATGATCTCACGGTCTTCCCGGAGTTCGCTGTCCGGCACACTTGGAGACGGGGTGCCATCACTGTGATAAGCGGGGGGTGCGGCATGGACAGCACCTCGTTGTCTGTCGCTCGTCCGGAAAGCGCACTATCTCTTGGCAAAATCGTTTTCTTGAATTATCTCGCCAACCAGGGTTCCTGGGATCTTGTATCTCAGTAAATTTTTCAATTACTGCGGGCGCTACCGTTTGATACCAGTTTCGACGGGTAGAAATGGCTGCAACCGTGGTTTCGCGCCCAAGAGTGGATTTTGTCCAACCCGACCGCGCAAAAAACTATCAGGGGCAACGCCAAGACCAGCCATCCATCGTCCCATCAACAACAAAAACATCCCAAACAGCATGGATCAACTCGTTGACGGAGCCAATAAGGTGCTCCGGTATATTGAGATCAATAGCCAGGAAGACCCTGTGATTACGGGCTACATCCGTACGGTCAAGCAATATGCAATTAATGCCCGCCAGCGCCGGAATGATACTAATGCCCAAGGGGGCATGGCCAACGTGGTCGCCGCCCTTGAGAAGATCGCGGCTGACACCGAGCGCTTGAACAATCGCATGGAGACTCTCGAAAAAGTAACGACCGCAACAACATACACTTTGACCCTGTCCGCAGAACACTGCTGGTAGAATATAATTGCGACTTCGTCCACATATATTCTAAGCCTTTCAAACAGAGTACCCTAAGTGCGGTCCATGATTTCAGCTTAGGTAGTAACGTCCACCGTCGATTTAGGGGAAGGTTCAAGTGGATTGGATTTAAAATTGCGACTATGTACACAGCTAATCGGTGCTCAGCAGAAGAGGATTCCAGGATCAGATTGACACAGTGTGGATCTTAAGGAAGGGGAGACTCTGGTCAACTCTGGTCAATATTTCTAGCCCCAACTGGCGTATGAAGGAGCAGTGGAAATATCTGGGAAGCTGATTGGTTGGAATAAGCCGTCTATGTTGATCCCGTCGGATAATAATTCACAGACAGAAGACAGAAGACTACCCCTATCTTGAAGGGTACGCTGAGAGATTGGAATAGGGAGATAGCTTGATGCCATATCAGGAGTGGATAGTGGTAGCGAAGCCAATTCGTGGTCTGATTGTGGCTCCAATATGAGGCTTTCAGGATGGAGCACAAGCTGGTGTCTTTTTAATGAAGATTTACGGGAAAACCTATAGTATATTCTTAGTGTCGCAATCTCCAAAGACCAGAAATTCTCGTAAAACTGGAAGTACCTCTGTCTGCAAGACGAGTTACGGCACGTATACGGCCTCTCGTTGGTATGAGTACGCTGGTGCCTAGCATAGCTCGATGACTGGGCATAGTATTTAGCCCCAGGAAATTGCTCGAGGTGTATTGTGTACAGAAATTTGCTTACATCGGCAAAGGCTCTCTGACAATTTTTAAGCTCACAAACATAGGGTTTTTCACCGGTATGGATTCTCTGGTGGACCTTCAAGGAAGATTGCTGGTTGAACCGTTTGTTGCAGTCTTCTTCGGGACAGATAAAGGGCCGCTCATTTGTATGAATCTGATAGTGTCGAGAGAGGTCAGCTCTGCGAATAAACGCCTATTTCGAGCGTGTCAGAAGGATCGTATAATAGCGGATATCATCCCTAACCTTTTCGCAGGAGTCCCATGGGCACTGGAAATAACGCATTTTGCATGATCAACTTTCTGGCACTAATACTCGCCGGTAGGCTCGAGCAAGCAGAACCAGCGATTTTCTTGCTATTCAAGATGCCTTGGTTCCAGAAATAAAATGCCGAACTCCTGCTGCTAAATAGAATTACAACTACAGACACATTGTCTCTATTGGTCCGGTTAAAATTAGTTGCCAAGGATCCCCTGTGCTATGATCACAACGCCAAATCCCTGGGCTTTAGTGAAAGGGCGCCCTACTGCTATACAAAAGTACTAATCCCAAACCGATATCCTCAATAGGTCGGGGTTGAGCCAATTGTCTTTTCTGATCAAGACATCTCCACTTATTACTTGCCCTGTGCTCGGGCCACACACCAAGCCCCACTCGTGCCAAACCGTACTCGTGAAGTTCATTGGCTGGAACAATAGCCGCTCATATTTTCCTTCGACACACAAATTCAACCTGCCAATATCACCATGGATTTTAGGCCCCCCCCCCCCCCCCCCCCCCCAAATCAGCCTAGAAAACTGGGCTTCTGCATTCTGAAAATAACACGAGCACCGTTGCCTCTCCTAAGAAGTTGATAATATACGGGCGCTACAGTTTCACAAATGTGTAGTTCAGAAAACTATCGTCCTGTACTCAAAAGTTGCAGGGGCTAACGAGTGCTTTTGACAGGTCGAGAAATGCTCCCAGACCAATTCAGAAGCAAAAACAGGGTAGGCGCCAGCAGTGCCAACCGGTTCTTTGTAATGGCTGAATATATCATTCGGCCTCCGTATAAGATTTGGGGAACATTAAGCCACCATTAGCAACACCATGACCCCCAAACGAAGGGGGAACAATGCTTTCGCCCATATGGCGTAAAATATTCTTATTGAATTCCAGAAATGATTCCTGAGCTCAGAGCAGCCGCCAATGAAATCTTCGACCTTTCTTATGATAAATGACGGAAAGCATGCAAGCCGAATCTGGTATGGCGCCAACTAATGTGGACGCTCTTCGGATAGGAATTTTAATTTCAGAGCCGGCCTTGTGATTGGCGGCTCATCTTCCCACTTTTTCTCCAGTGATTCCTGGACTATGGAACAATATGTCCTAGTAATATGCTTGCAAGAGTATACACTACTCTGTATATGGCCCATAATTCCGAACCCTTGCCTTAATCTTCCTATCACTATTTCCGGAATAGCATCACGTTTCCAGTTTCGAACAATCTTTATGGAACGTAAATGTGAGGTTCCGATTCAACGAAGAAGAAGAAGAAGAAGAAGAAGAAGAAGAAGAAGAAGAAAACAGAAAGGGAAACAAGCAAACTAAATACAGAAGTGTTGCAAACAGTGCAAACACGGTCACAATACCAGGCCTGTTCTTTCAGGTCTTCACAGCCCCTTAAGATTTCGACCTTGAATCAGTATCTGAACTCTCCTGATTCGGACGGCCGACGCCTAGATGCATCAAATGCCGGAGCAAATACCCTCTTGCTGATTTTTGCACCAGAAGAACCGCCGGGACCCAGTCCGCAACATAGGTGACCATTAAACCACATAAAAGCCGCTAGGAAAACGATAGCGGGCCGGAGTAAGCCCTACTAACCCGGTTGAACAGCATTAAATAGGAACTACTTCCCGCTTTTATAACCAGATTCGCGCTCGATGTGGCGTCGAGACCCACGTCGATCTGGGTAGCTATGCCGAAGTAGATACTATTAGCTACTAGTTCACAATAATTTCTACCGTATTAGCCTGAAGGTTCACGATGGAACACCCGAAATCACTCTCGTATCTTCGCAATGTTCTAGATGCCAGAAAGAGTCTAGCTCCCGCATGGAGACACTCACTAGGATTTGGGGGACTTTGACGAATTGGCCCCAGAACTACACTATCAGCGATGTTTTCTCTACAGAACGATCGAAAGTCCTACCTCTAAACAGGGATACTGATTGATCAATAGGCCTAGAGATCGATCAGAAACCCCTGTAGAGGTCTATCTACCCTCGGTCCGAAATAGAACTCCGGGAACTCTGGCGATATATTGTACGAACCCTATACTGCACCTATCCGCTTCGCGCTGAAAAAGACGGTAGCCTACGCCTTTACGTCGACTACCGAGGGCCCTATTTCATTGAACCGTTTATTATAGGCCGAAGTTGCTTTTAGAGAAGTGGTCTATAACCTCAAATAACACGCTAATCCTGCAGGAATTATATTTCACCTTCTGAGTACAAGTCATAAAGTGGACGAGCAGCTCTGCACTGTCTCACAGCGTTAGATCCGTCGATTAATTCAGTGCCATCGGGTTTCCGTAGGGGTTTTTCAATTGTGCCATCGGCAAAACATAGGATGGTCTATTGATCATTGGTTTAGCCAGACATCAGACTAACAGAGTATAAGAAAGTAAGACTGTCACCTACCTTCGCTAAGTAATCCATGCAATGCGGCCAGTGGTCATCATCATGCCAGTCAGTGCCTATATTCTTACCCTCGCTGGCAGCTTGGAGGGCTTTGCGCATCATTGTAAGACAGTGTAACTGGTGGAACCTGCAGGCCAGGTCATTAGTGCTCTGACTTGGAACACCGACTTGCCTATCGCATAGGTCATGGATGGCACGACTTACATGCTGATAGCTCCTTTCTGCTTATGCTCCTTGTTGACTCCATCGCCCGATATATATATTATGCCACCATCAGTCTTGTTAAGTGAAAGTGCTGCCCACATATCGTCATACGCATGATCAAGGCTCTGGAAAGCTTTATCTTGCGCGAATGACGAATGCACTGTGGTGTCATCATTGTGTATAGCAACACGTGCCCCCCTACCAAGCTGTGCAATTGATAGAGGCAGAATTGACAAGTTTAGGAGGAGGATTATAAAGAGTAGTGTAATTTTAGTGCGAGGATTCTGGAGAATATTTCCAGTGCATCCTGAATAGTTGTGCACTTGGTAACTAGGTTCTGGCTCTGATGTCTTTTCATAAGAGGACTCTTGCGATAGGAGATGGTAATCCATGTTGATCAGTAGGATAGAAGAGGGATGAATACTGACTGGCTGACATGGCGGCACCAAGCCTGATATAATTTATGCGTAAAAGAAAGTGAAGAAATCAACAAGCGTATCATTACAGGGAAACATATTCAGAGCTAGGATTCTTTGGTAAATGCAGGGGTCATATAGGGGCATTTTGACAAGAATCTGGAAATGGGACGTTAGCACCTACGCATTCTTATTGCTGATATGTAGGGCTAGGTTCCGTAGACGATTCACGCTATCCCTGATAAGTACGTTGTATGTCCAGTTTAGCTTATGTCAGTGGAAATTTACCATAACATCTCAGGTGCTTTCGCACATGTAGTGAATATCTACTGACTCTGGCTCGTAGTGGGTCACCCAGAGACTAATTCGGCATATGTATTGTATACATTAACTAAAATGATCAATGGTTTTGCTAACTGATTGTTAGAACTACAAACTTACTGGCTTCAGTTAACCGCTTGACTAGGGTTGTTGCACCTAAGATTAGTCGTAAAGCACTCCCTAAGTGCACGTTCCGTAAGGGGTATAGGACACTACATTTTGAGAGCGTCATAAAATTTCGTCTGTTATACCCCTAGTCACCTACAACTACTATATATAGGGATCATGCGGCTTATACGGCCAAATGGGTAAGTGTGACATACTCAAGGGTGACCACTGCCATTAGGGATTTGTAAACTTACTCCTGTATTAGCCTGTCTTAGAGATACGTAGGTGGAGATACCGAATTTAGTGTTGGCGACTATAATAGTGAACAAAATATGCACCCCTTACCTGAAGCATTGTATCTTTGTATCCTTCTCAAGACATCAGTAGTAACGCGTTACCACCAACGGGGTATAGATAACATACTCGAAGGTGGCCATTGCACTCATAATGAATGTCACTCCTCCCTTCACCAGGTTAGAATGCGCCATCGTAGATGGTAGTGACCGCTAATAAGCATACTCTGAAAGGATATAAATGCTCTCATTTTCCCCAGGAAGCCGATATTAATTTCTTATCCATCACATTGCGTTATTCTGCTTCAAGCAAGCCAAGCAACACATACCACCCTCTCGCTTCTCGACCACTGCCAACTGAAGCCTTAACCAGCCAAGATGCAGCTCACCACTATTGCCACTATTGTTGGGCTCGCTGCAGCTGTAGTTGCAGCACCCTCTTCCCAGAGCGCCAAGAACATGGCGTCCTCTGACCCTAGTTCTCCGCCTGACTGGCTCCTCCAGGCCAAGCAAGAGAAGAGCTGGTCTTTGTGCTGTGTATCTGGCTCCAGCCCACCGTATGAATGTGAATATAGCGCGGATCCGGACGCCAAATGCAGTGACAGTCTTTACCCTATCTCCTGGACTTGCCATTGGAAAGCAAGCTTTGACGATAGCTCTTACGATGACTTGGAAGGCAAAATCGTAAGTGGTCCTCCCCAACCATGGTCGGCGCATTAGGGATTATATTCTAAGTTCTATATATAGAGATGCCAACAAAACGATGATCTAAGCAGCAAGGGTGACGCGGCCAGCGGCATAGCGGCGCTTAGCGGGGTTGGCGAGACTCTCATAGACGAGGTTGTGGACCTTGTCAAGTCCCTCTAGATGCCGTGCTCATGGTAACTCGCTGAGTGCCTTTTCCTTGGTCGACTATTCGGGAATACTACGTGTGTCTTCCTTGGATCTATGGGGTCGTCGGATGGCAACGTCGACCTTGGTGCTAAGTCGTGAAATGTTCTTTCCTTTTGTTTTTCCCTTTCTTTCTTGTTACAGCTTACTTGTTTCCTCTATACCTACATAGAGGTGACAAGTAATACAGCCTTATCTAGTCAGGGAGTCCTAATATAACACGTTCTCACACTAAAAACAATATATTCTACGAGAATTTCGGCGAATTAATATCAGTCGTTCTACTTTGTCTACTACTAGATAGACCTCGACAGAAGTCGCCCTTCTCTAGGTCCGGTCTAGTTCGGTTCTGGGAACGAAAATCGGCATAAAGCCCCACCGCATTGCGTTCACTGGATTCCACGTCTGGCTGATAGAGGTACGACAAAGGCAACCGACCGGTTGTCCGACCGTTTAGTAATGGATCGAGTCATAACTAGTTGGGCTTCTTCCCAGGGCCCCTTCCAATTGGACGCACACACCCCAACACTACATATAGATCACGTGTAGCATCACGTGACTACGTCAGGCACACGTAGGCCTTTTTAACACGGGCTAATTCTCACATGATTGGTATCTCGATGATCTGTTGGTTACCAAAGGTATATAAATAGACAAAAAATCAATTTGAGAGTCTTTGGAGTCTTGAGAATGCGATTTAGAAGGCATGGACCATGCAGAAACAAAGTTTACCCAGGTTTACTCCACAGTGAATCAAGTGGCGTTTTTTAAATTCCAGATTCAGGATCTATGGCGAACTCATTAAATTGACCGTCATTAGGCAAAATGATAGTGATACAGCCTGGCTTTGTGGACTGATAAAGTTGGAAAAACGTGTATCTACACATGTTTGCACCTCAATCAAGGAGACAGAGACAGCGCACCAAAATACTCTTCTCAAACGAAATCCAAGCATTTGGAATGCAAGTCCGAATATCTATACCACAGAGACCATGACACTCGCATCAAAGACCTGGGGCTGGTTCAAGGACATTGTGCTGTCGGTATGTACACTATTCCAGATTTGTTAAATAGTGTTCTTTGTTAAGATGGAGAAGGAAATCCATAGTGATGACTCTTTTTTTCTCTTCAAGCGGCAGAAGCGTGTGCGCTTCAATCAAGAAGTTGAGCCAACGTCAAGTTCTTCCCGAACGGTTCTACTTGTGGAGTATTGGACATTTTGCACAGTCCAACCTCTGTGACAATACTCGGATTCTCGCAGTTCCAAGATTGGTTATAATGGCAACTACGAACCTCCATCCAGTGGGAACAGACCATATCTTCCTTACCATCAACGAGCCTTTATATCTGTGCATCTGATATTAATCCAAGCCAAAACTTTCCAGGGGGATTCCAGTAGGGCACAGTCGAGGTTGCACATCATCCAAAGTCGTATTTTAGCACGTTGTTCCAGAATTGGAATGACGATAATTTTAACTGGCTTCAGTAATTTACAGTATGTATGTATATATGTTATGCCATATTAATCTATAAGAAATTGAAGGCGTAGTTTCCATTATAAAATCCCACTGTGCCCTCAGACAGGCAGGGATGTTGGGAGTAGGTTGCTACTGGCAAAGATGGATTTCACACTCCTAAATAACAGAGGAGTACCGGTCTCAGATGCAGTCTAAATGGATGTAAGGTGTTTCACCCCCACAAGGGTCAATGTTCAATATTGGAAGTCGGGCTTAATTCTGACCTATAATGCGTGATAAAATCCAAACACACACGTAAGGCTTGATGTGCCGAAGGGTTCACAGAAGACATGCTCTGCAACCAACGTATGACCTTATTGACATTGCCCGATGTGGTGGGTGAGATATTGATGCCCCGCTTGGGAAAGACGTAAATGGCTGTAAAGGTAACTGCGACAGCCTGCATGACATAGTGGAGGGCACACCACCAAGGACATAGATCGTAGAACCACGTTAAATCCGGCTCCTCAGGGAATAAGTGGACCAATTTCTCTGCGGCCTGAATTGCCATAGAAGCACGCACTCGAACACATGTTCCAAACTCTCTAGACGGTTTGGAAATTAACTGGAGAAGACAGGGTTGGTGTATCAAGATTTTGGTCGAGTAAAAGAGAAAGGCGAGGCTAGTGCGTTGGCGGTTCAATGGTATAGTTTCCTCCTTTACCTCGATCTGAAAGGCTTCTGGAAGCGATTGAAGCCATGAATTTGCCTTGTTTTCCAATGAGAAGATTGCCTTGTCAATTTCATGCCACGGCTTGCATGCGGCTCTTGGGGCGTAAATAGTTTCAATGGCTTCTCGTATAACACTCGTGAGGTTCACTGTACAAAGAAAGTATAGAGCGTTGGGAGATGCTGGTGCTACATCCAGGATAGGATATTCTTGCTCCGTTTCGGCTTCTTTGTTGGTATTCATGAGTAACAAGTGCACCTGTCCACTGGAGTCGTTGCTTTCTTTGGAGGGAGAATCCTGTGTCAGACAATTTTGTGATCCCTGGTCCGAGCTAAGCTGGTCAACGCTTTGATTTTGAAATCCTTCCTCGTCATAGGGCAATGGGAGCTTCGCTGTGCAGAAATTCCCATCTATGCACGCTGGGCGCCCGGTGATCGTGGAAAGCAGAGTATCCAGTGTGTATAAAGACCACCACATTCGATGTCGAGTTTCTTTTGAAACAAGACTGATATGTTGGCTTTCATTTCGAAGATGTAGCCCCATTGTAACAGCTGAACTGATCGCGACATTGCATATCTTCCATGAACTAAGGCCAAAAATGTTATCATAGGATCAAGTAAACGATTAGAAGAATTAGCAAAAGAGAACTTATGAATACTAACCTGTTAATATGCCCACTGGCAAGAAGGTAAAAGGCTGACAAGCCTTCAACTTGAACTTGCTGCAGGTTTGGGTGATTGCGGAGTGAATCCTTGTCCATGCTCAATCTCCATGCCCGTGAAAAGAATTGTGCGTACGATTCGTCGCTAAGAAGAGACGGTTTCGTATGCTCCAAATGTCTTGCAGCAACTGCAAAAATCAGATTCAACACAGCAAACCACTGTTTCCCAGGTCGCACATCGCGGATAGAATAAAATGTTCTAAACTGGGCGAGAAATACCACTTTTCCGATAATTGGAAATGAAGGATGGAATGTTTCGAAGTAGGTATCAAGAAGCTGTATGGCAATATTTTGCGGTGGTCGGCTTAACCATGCGATTTCCTCACGAATGTCCATGGTAGGATCATTATAATAATAGTTTACGGATGTCACTGAAGGCGGCTCCAAGGGTCTTTCGAAAGTCAATGCGGCTTTTCTCTTTTCGAGGATGCATTTGAGCCTGTGTAGCCACGACACCTCCGAGTGTTCACCGATGAAGCCCAATGACTGTGGGCCTTTATGAAAATTGAAATCTTCGCAAGTGAAATCATTGGTTCTCCATGGAGCTTTCGTCACACCGCGGGTTGCAATTTCGGAAGATATCTTTGACGGGATACGTGAATGGCTTGAAACCTAGTAAATGTTAGTCATATGAGAAAGGAATGTCGAAACCACCTAAGGGTACGGATGATTATATTTCATGAAGCTTACAACGTACTTTGCGGAGGTTTTGATCAACATGTTGGGCAGATAGAACGTCGAGTTTGGGATATAACTCATGCAAAAGAGTCCTCAAAGCTTGGACTTCTGCGCTCAGATCATTCAATCGTCTAATTCGACCATCAGAAGAATTCTAGCATCCAAGGTTTAAGCCACTCACTTCTCGGTTCTCTCTCGTTTTCGGTCCCCATAACTGCAGCGGAGGCCGCTGGCCTGGCATTTATGGCAGGTTGGACGATGGCCACTGCATTTAGCTTTTTGTTCTCGGCAGTTTTCGCAGGCCAGCCTGACCCTACCGCCGCTGTTCCAGTCGATATGACGCGATATCCGAGGGATAGGAAGCTTCAAGTTAGACTGCTGCTTGTTGTTTCCTGAAGTACCAATCCAAGGGAAACCGTTTGCTGTACTTTGAGATAGACTAGAGCTAAGACTGTTGACAGTTTCACTCGCCAAGTTGTCCGCCCAATCAGTCCAACGAGTGCACGGAGCATTGTCTATGCAATCAAATGACGCAAAGATCCGCGGATCTGTGAAACCCTGAGTGCTGTTGGTGTCGGTGGCCATCCTCGCTCGGTCTCTTGCTGCAGCACCAGAACAGAAAATAACGCAACGTACTGGTAAAAGGAATGAAAACAGAAGCGTTAAATATTAACTAGAGTACTTTTGTAAAATTAAATCACTCGCTTCCTACATACCTTTGTTTTGTTTCACTGAGGGATCAATAACCCTTGATCCTTGGCGGAGCATTACTTGCAACCCTACAGAAAAAGAGAGAGAGAGGGCCGCCTCCAAAAAAGAGGGAAAGAAAGAGACCCAGAGACGACAGGGACAGAAAAAGGGGTAATATCCGCAAACGGTGAAATGAAGGCTTCTACGCACGTGCATCTGCAAATGGGAGTATGCATCATTTTTACATTGGGCTTTCAGTCGTTAGGCTTGAGAATAGTAATGTTGCAAGTTTATCTCTCGAACACTCCCTTTGGCTGTATTTCCATGAAGTACTACAAATTCTGTCCTTCACGATATGATTGACGTTCTCACTGTTTTGCAAGTCCCGCGCAGTGCGGAGGGTTGCCCACGGACAGCTTGTTGTTCTAGCGCAGAGCTCTCTTGGAACGGATGCTTGATCCCTTACCTCCCGCCAATGAATGGCTGGGCCGTGTTCGTGTTCTGACTCCTAGTCGTGTATGAGACCTAGCGGTTTATGCAAAACTGTTCTTAATGACGCTAACCCGCTCTGGGAAAGACAGGTATCTCATGATCTACAAGCAAGGGGTTGACGGTTAACTGCCTTCAACCCTGCAGCTTATCCGATTGGACGGATAAAGCAGCCGCCAACTGACAGACATGTGGCTTCAGGATCCTTCACCCTTCCTCTGTCAGGCTAACTCTGAACGGTAACGATCTACTGTATATAGGGTTTGCCTTTCTTCCAAGGCTCAACGCTGCGAATTGAGATTTGTGGCGCGCGCTGTATGCCGAAATCTTTTGTTTCCTTTATCGTAGATTGTTGTAAACGTTTCTTTCTCTTTTACGATCGACCATGTACTGTAGATGCGCCGGCCCACCCCCCCAAAAAGGTACTTCTGGAATTCCAGCGTCTTTCATGTATAAGCTTAACTCATTAATTGCATGCATATTTCCGCTTTTCCCTTGTCATGTGACTTTCATTCGCTCCCTGCGTTTTATCTGCTTTGTTTGTTTTGTCTGCATTATTACATTCAACATGTGAGGTCTGCATCATGGAGAGCCCGCCAGTCTCTCCGTGTACAGAGACACCTAGGTGCTGCGCACCATCTCGCTGTCGGGCAGGCCTGATTGCACTCCCGCACAGCAGCTGTACTTAAGGCAAGCTAAATCGGGCAAATGAATACTACTACTGTATATTCCCGCAAGTTATATGTCAGAAGCCTGCTCAATGGCCGCACATCTCTATCTCCAATTCAAATGTGTGTATTCCATAAGACCCAGTTTGTTGAACCATCTCTTTGTTAAAGACGCTCCAAGGTTCGGTCACGGTAGTGAGGCAGCTGCGCCCATCGAGGTATGATGGGGCGGGTGCTTGAGGTGTCAGCGCCCACCGCCGCCTGTAGATAGACCTTCCCTTCTGGGAGATCACTTAGGAATATGATCATCATCTCCGTTCTTCCTCTCTCCCTGTTTCGTGATCTCCTGCTCAGGTCGTTGTTATGGCGCCTTCCGACTTCTCCTGAGTTCTCGCCGCCATCATATGGTGACTTTTACTTCAATCAACATTAAAAAAAGGATGCCAAAGCCATTTCCACATGACAGTGTAATGTGGTCCTCAAAAAGGACATCATGATTGTTGTGAGCCTTCGTTATAACATGAACTAGGTACATGGTTTTCTCCAAAGACAGAAAGCCTATTCTCTTCTGCAATTTAATCATTTCCTCGTCACGACCGACTGCCATAGCCTGCACCTCGTATAATAACTCCGGTAAAAAAAGAGCCAGAGATCCTTCGCCTCAAAAAGAGAATTCTTCAACTGGCAATCTCGCAGTGCTTCAAAATGCGATCGGATACTTCAAGCGTGCCTACAATGTTACCTATGCTGAGAGCAAGTTTTCCGATGACTTGCAGACACAGATGATATTGCGAAAGACAAACTTGCAGTGGTTCAGCTCGCAATAAAATCGCTACAGCACGCATACGGTATTACTGCAACAAGTGTCATCATAACAGAGGCTACGGTGCGAGAGACGACGCCTGTGCAGCCGCGGCCAACCATCACACGCAGCACCTGGACTGTTGAAGATGAAAGCCGTTTATTCAAATTGAGAGATGTTCAAAAATTGTCCTGGGGTCGTATTTGCGGTTTGTTTCCCGAAAGGACTCCTGGGGCGGTCAAATTTCGATATTATTCGAAGTGTTCCGGGAGGTCTCCATCTTCTTCCAGTAAAGAGAACCATCCAGTTCATCACAGCCGGCATATTCAACGTGGACCAACCATTCGAAGAAGTCCTAGATTGAGCCGGGCCCATCACGTCCCAAGCGTAGAAGGAAATGTAGAACGGAATCGAGAATCTCTTTCGGATTTTGTGGGGTGTTCCTGTGAGTCAACTGCTTCGGAATTAGAATGTATTGATCCACGGCTTCGATCGTCTCAAAAAGCATGATATTCATCTCATCTAGTTTTCTAGCGGACTTAGGTCCACCGCTATATCTTTGTGCTATGACAGGCTTTCCACAGAATCATTATTACTCCCTTCCAAACTATGTTCGCTAGTTTCATTCGATTGATTCTTTTCGAGAGCGTTTTCCCCCTTATATTTGCTCGCAAGCTCGTCCATTGTCTTTCGAACTGGTAGAGGATGATTCGACTCCTTTTTCTATTAGCTACTGGTGCAATTCAAAACAACCAATGAGAAGAGAAGGCACCTCACCAATTGTTCTTCGGACAAAGGCCACCCTTGCGAGTGAGACGTTAATGTGTATATCTGGCCGGTTCTCCTCATTCGGACGACTAGGTTTATGTCGGCATCACATTCTGTGTAGTACTCAAAGGCTTTTTTCAAGAGTGTCTCCCTCCTCTTCTGTGCTTTCTGATTGAGTCTTCTGATGCGAGTTGATTCCATCGTGTCTTTTTGCCGCGGTGTGGTTTTGGAAAGAGCTACCGTAGGAGAGGCTTCCATTGTCGCAGGTGTCGGTAACTTCAGCCGTGTTAATGTGACTTTGCGGGTACACATATGTATAGATACCAGTTAATGGAGATTAACAAAGCTCCTAAAACCTCTCATATTAGTTGCTCCGGCAAACAAGCCCCTTGGGTTGAGCTTTTTGGATTGCGAGAGAAAAAAAAAAGGGGGGCAGAAAAAGAACCATCGTGATCAATTATTTAGAAAACCCCGCCAAGTATGTGCTGATAACAATCATGGTGTTCTAGCTATGATTGATCGAGCTGAAGCAACAGTGACTGGAACACGAAACGAAGCCTGGAAAGGGTCGAAGATGGTCAAGTTAATCCAATTTGGTTTCTGTTGGGTTCCGTGCAGCCAAATTTGGGGCACTTGCACCATGACTATGGCCGTTCTCTTTTTTTTTTTTTTTTTTTTTTTTTTTGGACGTGTGCAAATTAATCCAGGGACAAGGGAGAAACAAGGGGGGTTGAGGAAAACCAGCTCATGTGTATTCAAGTTGTATTGAAACCGTATCAATTTGTCATGTATGTGTCTTTGATTTGCTCGGCCCGGCGAACCTGCTTTGCACATTTACCGCACAGCCACCGTTGCTGAATATTATTGTTTTATGTAACAGTGGAACCTGTATGTTTTCGTGGTACAGACTCGGGCGTGCTCTACTTGCTCCGCATTCTAACGAACATGAGCAATCCATAATTAGCTGAACGGGATGGTGTCGGACGGTAACTTGGTATATTTCATTACTAAGAGTTCCCTAGTTACAACGTGTATTTACTCACGTAACTGATGGGAAGGCAACGACGAAGTTAACTACCTACAAAGACAACTTGGGAAGAACAAGTCGTATTTACGGATAATATTATCTGTCGGGATTACTGAATCTCATACGGCCTAGTACGCGTAGGGCCCAACCGGTATCTGATGAGCAGTGTCTCTTAATTTGAATATCTAGCTGAATAGGGTTTTAAATATGGGGATCACGTGTACCCTAAACCCGCTATTGGGTCCAGGAATCTCTTAGCTGAGTACAGTAGTGTAAGCGATTCTCGACATTGTCACATTATCAGTTGGCGCAGTTGTACATTATGATAGCGCAGTTACAGGTCAGTAACTTCTCTACCCTGAGGACGCACCTGTATCGATCGACAGGAAGTTCAGAGGAAGCCTGGTTTAGTTCGTGGAACTACAGACCCTTCTGGACCAAACCCTTGAAATCCACTCGCGAGTCATGCAACATAGCGCAGACAATTCGCTTCCGTCGGATTGACCCAGCCGACGACACAATCATTCCTGAGGTGATCCAATTCAACCATTCTGGTAATTTCTTCCAGGGTGGGATGGCGGACTAGACATATCTGAAGGGTAGTCAGATTGAACCAAGTCGAGAATTGCTGTGGTGGCGAAGTGCGTTGTGGCGTGCTTGATTCGTGACGGACTCTATCCATTCTGACCATTTCTGAGGTCGTAAATCCGGGTGAAATGGCATTTTTTATGTTCTTTTTGAGGGTTAAACTTGATCACTTGATCATTGCTTCTGGGTTGCATAATGGTTGAGATGTGGTTAAATTTAACCACCCCGATCAATCCTGGTGGTGAATGGCATATTTCGATGTAATTGATGGCTGATCAAATTTAATCACTTTCATTCTTGAGGTGATGAAACGGCGTGTCCATCTGTGTTTAAGGGTGGTCAATTTTAACCCTCTCGATCATTGCTACTGGGGTAAAATGGCGAGTTGACATGTGCTCAAAGCGTGATCAAATTAAACCGACCTGAACATTGCGGTGGTGGTGGAATTGTGGAATTGCTTGTTGCGATGTGTTTAAAAAGACGGAGGAGTTGATCCACCCACCAAATTCGAACCACTCTGGTCATTTCTGAGCTGGTGAAAATGACCTCTTGA